CACACAGCCCGCACGCCCGCCTGCACCCAGGACGTCCCTACGAGCACCGCGTGGATCCCCGAGCCGCAGCCCCGCACCGCACGGGATGGGGCTGCGCCGTTAACCCCGATTCCCCCGCAATCCCACCGCCCGACCCACAGGGCCTCAACCATGGGCTCGCCGTCCCTAACCCGTGCGGCCCCGCCGCTCTCGCCCCGCGCTGCCGACCCGGTGGAGGCCCGGTGCCGCCGCTCCTACCTGCGGGCCGGGCCCTGGCTGCCGGCGGAACCCCAGCGCCGGGGAGGCGGGGGCGCACGGAGCGGGGAGCGCCGCGCCCCGCCTTGTCCCCGCGCGGCCAATGGGAGCTCCGCCCTTTTCGCTCTCTTCGCTCCTATTGGCCGCGCAGAGGTAAGGCGGGGCGCGGCGAGAGCTCTGACCAATGGGAGAGCGAGGCCTGGCGGAACCCCAGTGCAGGGGATGGGGTGGCGCGGCCCCGCCCGCACTTCCCGCGAGAGCACAGCGAAGGGGCGGGGCTTGTCGCCTACCAATGGGGGAGCGGGCGGGCTGAGGGCGCGGCCTATTGGCTGCGCGGCACCACGCCCTCTGGTACGTGCACGTGGCGGCGCGGGCGCGGGAGGACGCGGGGCGCGGCTTTAACCCCTGCGGCGCCGGGAAGATCAGGCGTGTAAACAGGCTTTTTTTCCACCATAATTAAACTAATTGCATTTTTTTTTTTTAAAATCCAGAAAAAAACGTTTGTCAGGAACAGGACATTCATTTTGCAGCCGTGGAACTGGCGCTTTGTTTGTATTTTGCTGTGATGCAGGAATCCCCCTCTTTTCCAGGGCTCCGTCCCTTACATGCACTCCTTTTCAGACCTGCCCGTGTCTGCAATCCTGCAATCTTGACCTTTTGCCAATTTTACCATACCTTTCTCTTGCTATAAGAGCACTTATTGCATGAACTGAACATCACCTGTTCCTATTCAGCACTCCAGACCCCAAATTCCCATCCCTACTTCGGGCACGGCTGCTGAGGTTCCTATTGCTGCTATAGCAGCAGATCTCCAGAGCTGTTTTGCTTTGTGCAATAACACTTGGCTGCCCAAAGGCCGGATCCTGCGCAGGTCTGCCCTCTGTGACCCCTTGCACAATGGTACACACAGCTTCCTGCAAAGGAAGATAATGCACTGCAATGCATATAAATAGAGCTTACAAGGTGTGGTTGCAGTGCTGGTGTAAATGTGTGCATTGCAATTATTGTGTTGTTCAAGATTACCTGCTGCTGCACAGGCTCACTGAGCTCTGTCTGGAGCTGGGGGACTGACCTTTCACTGGTTTAACATTAACAGAGTAAGAAGACGCTCAGCAGTGCCTTAATGAGAGCATCATCTTCATTACTCATTAGCAGACCCAGGAAGGTAATTACAGTAGGCCCAGCATTGCCACGAGACTTCCACTGTTTTACCCTGCCATTGCAAGGCACAAGTTTCGGCCTTGCATTCTCCAGGATAAATGCAAGGAAGTCCCAGCACTGCTGCACAGCATGGCCATGGGATCAGAGAACGGCCTGGGTTGAAAAGGACCACGACGATCATCCAATTTCAACCCCCTGCTGTGTGCAGGGTCTCCAACCACCAGACCGGGCTGCCCAGAGCCACATCCAGCCTGGCGTGCCCTGGCCCAGGCAGCAGTTGTGTGCATCACTCTGCGCATCACTGCTGCTCTTTCGCAGGCATGGAGGAAAGGGATGGATGCTGACCTTGTGCTGCATTACATGGACCGATGGTGGGGATGTGCTGCACAGAGCCCTCAGCTGCTGCAGCTCTGCAGGGCAGGATCTCTCTTCTGGAATTGGCCCACAGATTGTTCCCATGGTGACACAAAGATGCACACTGCACTTTTGTCTCAGTTATTCATCAGTCCTGTTTGTCGCACACTGTGAAAACAAAATCACGGGGTGAAGCACAAGAAGATCTGGAGATAACAGGGCTCGCTGCTCCTGGCTTCCCCTCTTTTTGCACAGAGGCCTCGTGCCACGGGAGCAGGCAGCCTGGCACAGCCACAGGTCGCAGTTGCACTCTCCCTTTCCTCCAGGAACCACCCCTGCTTGTTTTGGGGCTGTGTCTGAAAGCAACCACTTGCACACAGCAAACAAATACCATGGATGCCGTTGTTCCAGTGCTGGGTAAAGGATTTCGGCTGAGGCCCCGCACGCCGTAATGCATTTAAATAGAGCTTAAAAGCCGTGGTCCTGAAGCCAGTGTAAAAAATTGACATTGCAATTATTATCTCGTTGCAGATTAGCTGCCGTGCTGGTGAAATCCTTTATTTCAGACAGCCCCACGTCGGGACGCTTTTCCCCCTCAGACTTCTCCTGAGCCAGGCCCAGAGCTGATGATTCATGTATTAATATGTGGTTATTAGATGACTCCTCTACCTCCACGGCTGCTATCTGTCTTTGGCAATGGAGGAAGGAAATGAATTCTTAAAACCTCAGGAACAAATGGTACACGCATGGAGATCAATCCTACTCCCGCTGACGTCAATGGAAAAATTTCCATCGGCCTCAATAGGAGCAGAATGAGCCATATATATCAGACACTGGTGTAATTTACAACCCCACAAACATCCATAGAGCCGGAGGGGGAAAGTTGTGTCTGTTAAAAATAGCTGGTGGGAATTAAGTGGCAGTCGATGATGTCTCAGTTTCATGGGGACAGAGAGGTGCTGGGCTGTGCATTGGATGCGCGCTGCGGTGATGCTGATGGCACATCTGTGGGTCCAACTCTGCGTGGGGTGGTGGTACGGCTGGATGGGAGCAGCTGCTGGAGCCTCTGCACATGGGGAGCCCCATGGCACCAGGACACGTGGGGCTGAGCTGAGGGCGCACACACAGCACTCCCCTGCCACGGTGCCCACAAAGTGGTTGTTGCATCGATGGAACGGGGAGGAAAGAGGAAGAAAAGCCCCAGGCATCCTCTGCTGATGGCAGCCCTTAGGTACAGGTGCTGCTGAGAGGCCAGCGCTGCTCACTGCTTCCGGCAGCAGAGCTGGAAATGGCAAGAGAAAGTGCAAAAAGCAATGATGTCCTTCCAGCACCACCAAAACCATCATTGTCATCACTGCCACCACATCTCTCATCAGCATCACTGCCACCACCACCATCATCGTCGTCACCTCCGTCACCAAAACTATCATCATCATCATCATTTACATCACCACCTCCCAGTATAAGTGACTGGGATCATGCTGCCACCAGCCCCTCCAGCTGCACCCCACAGATGCCCAGGAAGCTGCTGTCCCGACCCCCAACAAACCTTCTCCCTGTGCTTTGAGCCTCTGCTTCCTCGTGTCCATGCCTTGGCTGTGCCCAGGGATGAAGGCTGCAGCCCCGTGCAGCTGTGTGACACCCTGGCCCACAACATGTCCCCATCCCCGCCCCACCAGGAGATGAAACAAAGCATCCACAAATGACCACCGGCCCTTAATTAGAAGCCACCAGCTAACGAGATGTCATCTGAGCCAAATATTAGGAGCTGCCTAATAGTTATATCAATGAAATCAACAACAATTTAACAGCAAAGGTTAATTGCATTTATACAAAAATCTGATAGACAAAACGATGCTCAAACAGTTGGGCAGACTAATTGAAAGCTAATGTTGCTCCTAAATTGAATTTCAAATGAATTTTACATCCATAGCTCATTCTGCTAATTTCATTCCCCGTATCCTGTAATTTGTTGGCAGTGATTGATTACTTAAGTGAATAATATCTATGTACCAGGGCTGCTTGGTGATGGAATGCTGTGGCTGCTGAGAAACCTGCTTCCCTGCTCCAAGGCAGAGCCCAATGGACATCCCCCATTGCCTGCAATGGAGCCGGCGCCTCAATGTCTCAGGAGCCTCTGCTGCTGTGAGATGAAGGCAGTGACATCTCAATAAAAGAATTGAATCTTTGCAATGATGGTTGTTGGTTTTTTTTGGTTTTGTTTTGTTTTTTTTTGCATCCAACCAACAATTAGTGGTTGCTACGCTACAGCCGGAGCATAATCATTGTAATAAAGGCAGCCAAGGGAAGGCATTAATCAGAGAGAGATGTGATTACCCAACCTCCAGCCCTATCTGGAGCCTCCTGTTGCTCTTCTGGTGCAGATCCTGGGCTCTGGATCTGGGGAACATCCCAAACTATGGGCTTAGCATCACTTGCAAGCATCAGTTTTGGGGTGTGCATGGCCCTGCTGGCCGGGGGGTGTTGGGACCCCATTCCCCCCAGCCAGCAGGGCCACGCACCCCCCAAAGGATGCAGTCAGCTCCATCCCCTGCCCCTCAAATCCATCCCAACAAGCCCCTAGACACAATTGCAAAAGAAGCACACATGCATATGCAGGAAGCTTCCGCTTGCAATGCCATCCAGTGGTGCATCGATGGAAATTTGGGTGTATTTTGGGCTCAGCATGGGAGACAGCCCTAAAAGGACCACAGCAGGATGGGTACAATGTTATCCCAATTACCATCAGCCCCTCACTGGGTGGGATGCAGCGCTGGGAAGCATCCAGGCTGCCAGCATCAGTTGTGATTTCCTTGGCCAGGGCTTGGGATGATCAGATTTGCTGCTCTGGGCCCCCCGGATAGCCCTGAAATCTCTTTTTTTTCCACCCAAAGTGCACACAGCTGCAGGGCTGGGGTTCCTGGGGGCGGAAGGCTGAGCCCCTCCAGTTCCTCCGCTGCTCGCAGCCCAGACCGGGAGATGTCCATTCACTTTACCGGGGCTGCAGTGCCCTCATGTGGCACCTCTCCTCCACCCGCAGCGTATCCATCTATCCCCAAATGCTCTAGAAAACCACTCCTTGCCCCCAAAAACCCTGTAAGGATGCTCCGGGACACCCACCTTCTCTGTTCCTTCTGTCTCCAAACGCTCCATACCCCACACAACCCCTACAGACACACGCAGATGGCTGCAGGACCCCATTCCCTCACCTCACCTGTGTCACCCCCCAGCTCCCTGTCTCCCCCCTGTGAGCTGCACTGCAGGACCAAGGCACAGGAGATGCCACACATCACAGCAGTGTCATCAGCCCCGAGCTCAGCCCCTTCCCAGCAGGTTGGGAAGGGTCACCCTGCAGCGAGGATGGCGACGGTCTTTAGAAGTTCTCCTTGAAGAAGCGGAAGCCGAAACGCTCGCAGTGCACTCTGACCACTTTGGCCAAGGCCGGCGAGCCACAGAAGAACACGTGCACCTTGCCCTTCCTCTCCTCTGCCACCCTGCCCAACACCTGCAAGGGAAGGGGAAGGTGCCGTGTCTGTGCCGCTGCTGGCAGTGCCCAGCAAGGCCCTGGCCCTCACCTGGCTCCAGTCGGGGCGGCCGGGCTGCGTGCGGGTGCGCAGCCCCGTGATGGAGTCCTTCTGCTCCTTGGCGGCCAGCAGGTCCAGGGCCAGCTGCAGCCCCACCGCCTTCACATCACTCCTGCCCAGCGCTGATGTCATGTACAGGTGCAGCTCCAGGAAGCGCCCTGGGCACGGTGGGGGAACCCGGCTGTGCCTCAGGATGGATCCGGGATACCCTGAGCTGATTTGGGGTGTGGGATGCTCCGCGTCCTGCTCACCTCCCGGCTCCTGCTCCTCCTGCTGCAGCTCCAGCGCAGCCAGCAGGTCAAGGAACCACTCAAAGTGCTGCTGGTCCCGGTTGATCCAGATGAAATCAACCTGGAAGGATGCAGCCTCCGTGTCAGGGCAGGCTGACAGCACGTGGGACACATCCAGCACGTGGGATGGGATGAGAACCTGCATCTCCAATGCGATGAGACGCTCTGGAAACCTGCATCTCATATCCCCTATGGGATGTGAGCCTGCGTCCCACATTCCCCCTGCAAACCCCACAGCCTGCTCCCACCTTCCTGAGTGCCATGTCCTCATCCCACAGGGTCTCACGTTCAGGGCAACTCTGCTTCCTCTGGCGGTACCTGCATGGGTGAATGCAACCCTTGTCTGTACCCCTCGCACCCTGAGCACCCACACAGACCCCAAGCCTCCTTCCCCACCAGTCCCCACGCCCTGCCTGAAATCCCCTGGGCGAAGGTTAACCACAAAGGCAATACAGTGTAGGGCCCTGTGACTGCATGTCCCAAGTTTAGCAATAAGGAATTGCAGCCCTGAACACGTGGCACAGCCCCAACCTGTACATGATGCTCTGCAGGATGGATGCAAAGGGAGTGATGCCAATGCCAGCACCGATGAGCACAGCATGCTCTGAGGTGAAGATCCGGCGTGTCGGGGTCCCGTAGGGGCCATCAATGTAGCACTGGGAGAGATAGAGGCTGAGCACTCAGAAAAAGGGTGACAAACCCAACGCCAAAGCAGGATGCTCTGCCCTGGGCAGAACCAGCACACAGGACTGAGTCCCTTCCCAGCTCTCACCTGCTGCACCCACCCCGAGCTCACCTTGATGCTGCAGAGCTGCTGGTTCTCACCCAGCTCCATGGAAACCTGCAGATGTGGAATGTCCATCAGCAGCAGTGGGTGGCCACCTCCTCCCTGCTCCCAGAGGAGCATCCAGCATTCCCCACAGCCTGGCTACTGGCTGCTTCAGGGTTGGTTTTTCCCCAACTGCACCCATCAGACCCCAGAGCTGAGCCCAGTGGGAGTGAAGGCTGATGGACCTCAACCCCAACCCCAAAGCCATTGGGGCAGTGACACCATATGACAGCAAGACTCTCCCCCTCCCTCTGGGGACGTCTGAGGGGTTTGGAGGCTGTGCTGGCACCAACCACCTGCAGGGATGTGTCCTGGTCCTTGTGCCCATCCTCA